GGAAGGTGCCGGTGTCCTTCTCAGAGAGGGAGGAGAGGACCTTCAGCATCCCTTGCACGCTGTCATCCACTGTCACTGGGGGCTGTGGGGCACAGGGGGAGATGCAGCCCATGCCCAAGGCCTGGCTGAGGGCCCTATAGCAGCTGGAGCCAGGGGAAAGAGCTGCTCCAGGGCAAAGGGAAAGCTGAAAACCCCAGGGGGAGGGACTGAGATGAGAACTGAGGGAATGGGGACACCCAGCACCCAGGACCAGGATGGGGGAGCTGCTCCAGCAGGGATTGGGCAGGCAGGGAAGCCACGGGCAGGGGCTCAGGACAGCAACTCCCAACCATGCAAAATCAGCCCAGGAGCTCTGATGGACCCGCCCGAGGGGAATTCCTACCGCGTGTCCGGCAGCGCTGCCCATGTCGGTTTGCACCCAGCCGGGGTGGAGAGCGACGCAGAGGATGCCGTGCTCCTTGTACGCCAGGGACTGGCACTTGCTCAGCATGTTCAGAGCAGCCTGAGGGGAGACAATGCAGGGACGGTGGTGGCAGGGGAAGGGGGACTGCAAGGGGACCCGCAGCTGGGCAGGGAAAGCAAAGCTGTGACAGTACCTTGCTGCAGCGGTATGAGGTGACTTGCATCAACTCCCAACCAAAGGCAGAAGCGATGGAACCACCAATGCTGGATATGTTGACTATGGCAGCCTTGCTGCAGTTCAGCCCTGAGCCTGGGCTGCCCTGGGCAGCCTTCTTCAGCAAGGGCAGAAATGCCTGTGAGGAGATAGAGGGGACAGGAGCACACATGGACACAGCACAGGGCAGGGGAGGAGCTCCTTCCACAGTGGGCAACATGGACACCAGCACTGGGGGGCATCCTCCCTCCTCTTCCCTGCCGGGCTCCAGCTCCTGAGCTCCAGCCCACGGCTGCCTGAGCTTCTCATTAACTGAGAGCCCATCAGGGCACCAGAGCTGTGACAGGAGCCCCTCCCACTGGCCCTACATGCTTCTCAAGGACAGCCCAACGTGAGTGAGGGTCTCACCTGACCCATCAGCAGGGGTCCAATTGTGTTGGTGGTGTAAATCTCCCTCATGTCCTC